ACCGGCGGATATTTAATTATTTTTTTAAAATTAAGATCCGCCGGAAAGTAATTAAGAATTAATATTTATTTTGAAACTTTTCTGGCGGATTTCCGGTGGAAGCCGGTAATAGCTATCCAAGGTTTTTTTTTTTTAAATTAATGATTTCCGACGGATTTTCATTTTTCCCAATTTTCAAACTTTTCTTTTCTTAATGAATCGTATGGGCTTTAAAGGATTGTATTGGGCTTTAACGGTTTTATTGGGTTTTACTGGATGTTAGTTGGGCTTTAATGGATTTTATTAGGCTTTAACGGTTCTATAGACTTTAACCCATCATATTAAGATTTAATGGATGTTAGTTGTGGTTTAATGGACCGTATTGGGTTTAAAGGACCTATTGAGCTATAATGAATCGTATTGGGCTTTAGTAATAACTCACTAACATATTAGTAAGAACTCACTAACTTGATACTAATTCTGATAATAAGTCTATTTTTTTCATAATGGATAAAGGAGTGTGAAATAATGTATAGAGGCAAATTTTTTACCCCTAGTATTGTTGTAGCTATTTCTGGACGTTGTCTCGAGCATACAACTATTCCATTAAATTCATGCACTTGAATTAAATCATGGCGAATTGTATATATGTTTCATGGATGCTGTTGTTGAAGGATAGAAAGGTAAAAGGAAAAAAAAAGCGCACACACACACAGACACACACACACATATATATATACACACACACAAGGCTGGTTCAATGGTTTTGGATGTCTTGGACGGAAAGCCAAAAAGATTCTTCTACTCCAAGAACTCAAGAAGACACAAATTTTTAAGGGGTTTGGAACCTAGTCAAGCTAGACGGCTCATCCCCACGCCGATTATTATTGGAAAAGAGAAGTTACAACGGGGGGGACATAAACCAAAATCCGAACACAAAACAAATATAAGATTACCTATTCACCTAAAAATCTAAAATGGTGTCTTCGTGCACTTCGTGAAGCAAAATTTTCAATTAATCTATCATAGTCAACATTTTCAAGAAACTTACTTTCGATCCTCAATATTTGCTAACCCGTTAAGTCTATCTTGACTCATGGTAGCCCGCAAATATGACTTCAATAGCTTTAATTTCGAAAAACTTCTTTCGGCATATGCTATCGTGACCGGTATGGTTAACAAAATCTTGTAGACAAGCAACACGTGTGGGAACATATCCACCTTTCGCATAAACTCCATAACTTGAATAGACGTCCAAAGCTTTTCTTCCTCGTATGCTTCATATGGTATCATACCCTCCAAAATTTGTAACTCCGTATAAAGATATTTCTGATCAATGTCAACATCATCACCATGTGTCAAAGTAACCTCAAGATTCAAACAACATTTCTTTAATTCATCATCTTTCAATTTAACCAACTTAGAAGCATCAAACAAGAACCCAAATATAGACTCAAAATGTTTCATCTGTTCAAATCTACTTCTTAACTGAGAAAGTGTCATATCCACTAAAACTAGAAAGTAATCAGTTTTAAATGATTCTTGGGCAAGTTGTTGTTGTCTTTTAGTATTTGGGATCTCATCAAATTGTTTTTTTCTACAAACATAATGCTTTAAAGGAAATTCGGGTTCAACTCCAATGTTTTCTACAAGTTCAACCACTCACAGTCTATAACTTGAGTCCCTGTTACATCCGAGTTTCTAACAACAATACAAGGACAACAATCCCATTCCAAACTCTTATCCTATGGATCTATTGCACTAAAGTCTATAATTACATGAACCCAATTGAATAACCTACACACTCAAAGTATGTACATTTCAAAAAATATGCTATAACTGCATGTAATTCCAAAAGCTCGAATAGGTAAATTAAGTTGGAGAAATGTCCCCCAAGACCCATCTGTGTCAAAACCGAGCAAATAGCTCAACAACACAATTGACTATACATTAAAAAGCCATCATAAGCAATAAAACGTATTTAACTAATGTTTATGCAAATACATACTCCAAAGACATGATTAACTCAAAAACCCATCATTAGTTGGGAAAATTCATTTTCCAATTAAAATCATACCATTTATATCTCATAACACAACAATGTGCATTTTCCTAACCAAATACACCAAAAATGCATTTTATCACCAAATAACTTTCATTTATGAGATCAATCATCAAAAGAACTCACTCTTATGATTTATTTATCAAAATGTCTAGAAGATGCAAATCTGTAAATTAACCAATAACATCTGATACACTTAAGATAAATACTTCAAGACTCCAAAATAAACATTTTTGACATGTACAAAGTTTTCACCAACCAACCTGAACTCACCTTACTAGGTTACGTTAAACCTAGTTTCCAAGCCCATCATTTGCTTCCAAAAGGTGAAGACTTGAATCCACAAGTAAATCCTCCCATTAACTTCACAAGGTCATATTCCATGGCTAGAATAGACCACGTATGAACAAGATCTTTAGATCCACAAAGATCTCCAAAATAGAGGTCAAAACACCCAAACACTTACCCCATCAAGATCTTGAAGCCTTCCATCATAGATCTTCAATCTCCAAGGTTTTCCTTTTTATTTGTTCCAATTCTTCAAACGTCCCAAAAACATCAAAGATCCAAAATCCCCAAGGGAGAGAGGGGAGGGAAGATGGTGGAAGAAATGGGTTAAAGCCCCTAAAAATCGGACTTAAAATGTTCCAGAGGCTTCCCACGACCTTTCCCGTGGCCTAAGTCAAGGGGCTAGTTGCATGCATCCAAAAACTCAAATTTCAGAATAGGAAGTTATGCGACTTGGCCCGCGCCTTGAAGTGGCGGGACTATTGGCCCAACTTTTTGTTTGCTCCTGTTACACCCTTTTCTCTACCAAAACTCACCCGTACCAAAAGTTTTCATGGTACAAAGCATTTCACTCAATAAAAGACCTTCGAAAGCTCATAAAAAGAACGTCAAGTGGAAAATGTTGTACCCACAAAAATCTGGGTGGTACAATGAGCTACAACAAATTATTTAAATGCCACGATAGGACCAATAACCAAACTGAAATTGGAAGTTGTGTAGAAGGGAAGTAGATGGTGATAAGATGTCATACATAGTACTGATCAATATATGTTGGCGACAACTTCTACATATCATTTCTGCCTTGTTGATTCTTAACGTGTATTGACATAACACTTGCTTGTTCTGCAACCTCTATCTCATTATAAGTAGCATGCAATAATAAACAACCAACAAACAAAGATTGATGTGAATTTCACTTTAAATTAGACTTTCAAACTCATAAATAAGTTGCATAATAGATTGATACTATGTTCACTTGTTAAATTGTATTTTTGTAGAAAGGTTTTGTTTTATGAAGTGAAAATGATGTTACATTTCTATTTTTTTAGTATATTTCATTATACAATGAAAATAACGTACATGTCCAAGCCCCAGAGGATGGTTTATGATCTAAATTCACTCCATATTAAGTTGATAAAGTTGAACTTTCATGGAAACTAGCCGTAAACTTTCATTCGTATCAAGTAACCTTAATTTCACATTCGAGTTCATGAGAACTTTAATCCAAAAACTCCATCTAAAGTGAACTCTAGTAATGAAAAACGTTGGGGCATATCACTGCTGAGAAACATCATAATATTGGGCAGACTATCCATAACATCCACGTCCTAAAAGATGCCCTCCATGAAGCGTGAGCCGATCTTAGATACAGACTCCATTACAATCTTGATCAAGTCTATTTGTAAATTGAGGATATGAAAGGTCATTCACTCAAATTTTTGAATATTTGCATAGATTTAATGGAACCTTCATACTGGTAACAATTAATGAAAAGAAAGCAATGACTTTTGATTGTATTGTTCATTGTTGTATGGCAATTGAATTTGATCGATAGGAATCAAGAGAGTAACAGATGACGTTGTCAGTGTAGATGATTGAAAGAATTAGATAGTAGATATTAGGAGAAGTCATCCCTGTATATGAAGTTATCTCTATCGGTAGGCATTAGGTAACTAGGAGATTTCGTATAGAGTATGAAAGACTTCAATTGAGATTAATCAATCTGATGGTTGGAGTGAGGACCTCACTAGAGAGTAGAGCAATTGAGGAGAAACCTCGTCGGAGGCTAGAACGTGACTTCAATAGCGCTTTTTTGATGATTGGTGAAGAGAGAAGAAAATAGGGGTTGTCAAAAATACCCTTGTACATTGAAAAGGCTGGAAGAACTACAACCATAAGATCATTAACACCAAAAAGCCATCAACGGTTAGAAGTTGATCTCATGGGTCTCATGAAAAACTCTTGATCTCACTTATAGCAACACAGATCTCATATTAACCAGGCCAAAACATGACATATGGTTGCATTTAATTTTTAGAACCGTAACGAATAGTGTTACCTTTTTGTCACACAAAATAACAAAAACCATGGTCAATTCAACCGATATAGTTACATTTAAATTTTAGAACCGTGACTATTGATTACATTTTAATCATTCAAAATTAATAAAAACCGTGACCACAAACTATTTATTAGTTACACGAATTGAATCGTTAGAATCGTGGCCAGTAGTTACGTTTTAGTTAGATAGATTTATTTTAATTATGGCCTTATAGCAATAGAAGTTTCACCATGGTGATTATCGATCACCGTTTGGTCACACATAATAATAAAAACCATGGCAAATTCAAGACATAATTATGCTTTAATTTTAAAACACTGGCTATTGATTAACTTTTGGATGAATGAGAAAGGCCAAAAATCTTACTGGGTAAGAGCGATGAGAAGGATGGAGAGTCTTACCTAATAAGTAAGGATGACGACTCTTACCCAGTTAAACGCTTACCTAGTAAATTGTTGCATTCGATATGTTTTGATATACTAAAATCTTACGCATCAAAATAAATCATAGTGTTGACTCCTATCGGTAAGCGCTTACCGGGTAAGCAATTGGGTAAACGGCCCCTAAGATAACATAACAATGAAACTCAAAAAGTAGCTATTTCCATACAAGTTTGTTGCTATCATATCTTATTTATTACATACAAATTCTTTCGCAATTTTTAGAAAGAACCAACAAAAATACTGGAATCAATACAAACAAGAGTGGAAATATCAGATGCATTTTCACATTCAGATTTTAAATAAGAGTAACGTTATATCCTTTCATCAGTCTTTTCAATATTTTTTTCTTTAAAATATGGTATCAGTTGAATTTTAGATTTTTCTTGTCGATTAGTGATTTGTAGATTAATGTGAATTTTCATTAGAAATATATTCAAATGATTGATAAGAGGATATAACTTGCTCTTTAGACCAATGAAATTTTAATATTTTTTTCTCAAAAATATTTTTTAGAAAATGAAAATTAATATAAGTAAAAGGAAAAGATATTGTCACAGTCATTGTCAATGGCACTGTGCATTTTTCCCGGGCCCACCGTAGTAAAAGTAAGTGCCCCATTGGTTATTGCTAGAGCTCTTGATATTATAACAATTGGTGTTTTCGGCCAAAGTCGATATGTCGTGGGCGGAGATCAAGCTGTTGTCTGAGTCCACGATCTCTAGGTTACGAAAATAGCTTGCTTTTCCGAATCCATCTTCCGCAAAATGCCCCGACCCCATTTCTGTAGACGTGTGTTCACCATTAGCTCGAGAATTCACAACCTCGCCTCCCCATTCCACCATTGTCGCTTTGTCAGCTAAGTGTGTAAATAGCTCTGCCGGCCAATACCCCACTAGGGTATTGTCTCCGAATCCCATCCACCAGTTCCCGAGCTTTGGATCCTACGTTTGAAAGACAAACTTATTGAAAACACAACAAGTGATAAATAGTTACAACAATATTTCCAAAAATAAGCAAAAAAGATACCTTCCAAATGACTATGGTGACATCGAACTGACTTCCTGCGAATGCAGATAATGGAGAAATGGCAGCTCCTATGGCTATTCGGCTATTTGTCTGTACAAACCCTGAACATAACAGGTTGTAACACCCTGTTGCTTGATATGCATCACTCTGTACCACATTCAATAAAGAATACCACATTCAAAAGAGAATCAGTATTATCTATCATTTACTTGTATTTAAAGATATACTAATCTCGATATGATGTAGTATATGATATAATCAACAGTCATGGTTGAATCTAAAGTTCTAGAAAAATAATAATTGAAATCTACATTTATTGTCAGTGTCATTTTCGTAATTAATAATTTTTTGGGGTAGAATATGTAAATTAATGTTCGGACCACCAAGAATTTGAAGGGGTGAACGTGGAGTGTTTTCCCATTTGAAAATGTTGTTCTTAAATGCGGTGCCATTCCATGAAGCACCATGAGCCCCATAATCTTTTCTATCTTTTTTGGTGACTTGCTTTTTAAAATAGTAAGGGGTTGTTTGACCGTTGTTGAATGGTTTGGTATAAAATGGTTAAGTGGTCAGAATAATTAAGAGGCTCTCATTGTATAGTGTAAAATGAAATATAATTGTTTGGTAATTGTTTACAATGAAATTAGGGCGCCAAATGGTTAACGGAAGCCGATGATACAAATTTTTTTAGAGGGTTTTAAAACTATTAAGAGACAGACTTTTCTTTTACCAAACATGATTCATCTCTTAACGATTCAGAGGCTGTCTCTTAATGGAACTATTAATAGGTAAACAAACAACCACTAAATCACATTAAATTAAATATTTTGTAAAATCAACTTTTAAACTATTATTTTACAAAGTTGCTTTTAATTCTTATAATTTGTTTTTAATAAAAATTTAATCTTTAACATATTTCCAATGAAAAGTTTTAAAAATTGGTTTATTTCAAAATGAAGGTTTTAAACATGGTTTCCAAAATCCTGACACATGATTTTTACATTTGAAATTTCACAGTAAAACATTATGAAGGTAATCTTTATAGTGTTTTTGCTGTGAAGATTCAATTTTTTTCTATCTTCATAACATTTTGTTGTGAAGTTTCAAGTGTAGAAATCGTGTCTCACGTATCTTACGAAAACAACCTTGTCTCAAGTGAATTCAATCATATGTATGTGTGTGTGTGTATATATATATATATATGCATAGTTATATGGAGAGGAAGATAGAGTCGTTACCGTCCAGTAAGTGAATAATCGGGGTCGACTGTCACCATAAAGCTCCGGACTGACCTGACTAGTAGAAGAATCAAAGCTTTAGATTTTTGATATTCATATAAACTTGATATAATTCTGTAACATAAATATATCCAATCAAACATAACAAACTAAATTTAAGTGTGTGTGTATATATATATACTTATCAAAATAGACTTGAGATCATGTGAGACTAAGGGTTTTTTAGTGAGACCCGTAAGACCATTAGATCTGAACATTTATAATTACAAAATTGCCACGAGACTTCTCAGTAATCACAAAAATTACCACCGTTCAACTTTAGATCATTAACTTATAAAGTTAATCAATGAACATAAATTGGTCTTACGGATCTCACGTGAACCCAACTCTATCACAATATAAAATAGAGTTGTGTATCCTATGAATTTATGTGTATAACTTTTAAATGATTATTAAATATTTAATCTATTTTTTAATAATTAAATTAATAGTAAATAAAATCGTGAACTCAACACTCAAATTAACACAAAATCAACACTAACCCGAACTTCTATGAACTTAAAAAAGTCATCACTTCCATTTTTTAATCTCAAACAAATTGTTTATATATATATATATATATATATATCTATATAGGAGCTGGTTCAAATACTAACCCAATATTTTATGCAAACTATGCTAACTCATCTTAATCGTTCATTTTCTCATCTAATGGTTATTATTAAATGAGATTAAATAAACAATAATTTAATTAATATATTAATTAATATGTGTATGAACAATTGTTCAAAGGATAAATTGGTCAAAATTTTGTATTAATTTAAATGTGTATGAACAATCGTTCATCTTCGTGTCTATATCAAGGTATGAACATTCATGTGAACCCTATGGTGTGAACCCTAGATATATGAACATTAGCTACACCGTGTGAACCTTAGATATATGAACATTAGCTACGCCGTGTGAACCTAATGAACACTATAATCGATATATGTTGGTCATATGATCATGTTCTTCAACCTTGATGCATGCTCGTAGTGATACACATGCACGACGATGAGACATGCACATTAACAAAAACAGGGGTTGTGCAGATAAAACCGATACTTGTACTTTATATATGTTCGTGCATGATGTTCGTTGTAGGTGGTTTCATATGTGAATTAGTTGTCAATAAGATGAACATATTGGAATCTTCGTGTCATTATTAGATGAAGATCAATTTGAGATATTGTAGGATTTGTAACTCCCAATTAAAATATTTGGGAGTTACATAAGAATGACTAATGACCTAAATACCCTTATCATTAATATGTAAGTTACATTTTAACCAAACCCAAAGATGCAACATTATTGGTTGATGTGGGTTAGCAAAGTTTGCACAAAATATTGGGTTAGTATTTGAACCACCCTCTATATATATATATATATATATATATATATATATATATATATAATTCCTTGAAATAACCAATTCATCTTTTACTTAATACTTATTTTTCAAAATACTTCAAACTTTTCTTGGGAAGATTCAAATGTGTCTCTTTTTTCCTAAAATTTGATGAAATTGCTTCTAATTTATGAATTTAATCGGATTTATTTTATTATATATCATAACAAATGTGAGGGATCGAATCCGAGTTTTGAAGTTTAATGACGACCATTACAACAAAATTGAGTTTATAGGACACTTTATAGGACTTAGTTTATATGATCAAAAAATAAAGTGTTATATCTAAAAGTGTTGTAATAAGTTTATATGACATTTTTGATGTCGTAATAAGTTTTTTAGGATACTTTTAATATAAAACGTCTCATTATCAACTTTATAGAATATTATTTGAAAAACTGCCTTATAAAAACAAGTGTCCTATAAAAAAATTGAGTTTATAGGACAAATTCTCAAAAATGTCCTATAAAGTTGCTAATGCGACACTTTCTATTAAAAATGTTCTAAAAAACTTGTTAAGATCTCCAAAAGCGTCATATAAACTTATTACAACACCTTTAGATATGACACTTTATATTTTGATCCTATAAAACGGTCTATTGAGACGCTTACAGAAATGACCTCGTAAACGATTAATTTTTAATTCGTTAAACGTATTTTATATCCAGGAAATACAACAATAAACGTGAAAATTTATTTTTTATAAAATTATTTAGAAATTAAATAAAAACAAAATTAGGAGAAATAATAATTAATATTAAATTAGAAGAAATAATGATAATTAATTAATATAAAAAAGGGGTTGTAGTGTTAGTCGTACCTGCCAGCCAGCTTCGATGCTATTGAGATCGGAGCCGTCGAAAGACCCGGAAAGAACCCAAATCTGGGAAAGACTGAATTCATTTATCACTTCTATCTTTGGGTCCCACACGTTTATTGTCGCTTTTGCCCCGTATATCTCATTCGATGATCCCGTGTACGCTATCGCATGCTATCAAAACCCAAAACATTTATTATTAATTATCATTATATAATTACATGGATTTAAAGTTTTTATTTAAATATAATATACCTCTATAATTCCCATTTCAAATACATATTACCATAAAATAGAGTTTACAAAAAATAAAAAATACTTATATGTTATTTTTTCTCGGGTTGATCCAAATATCACTATATCTGTAATATCCAAGTCCGTAATAAGCTAAAACACAAAAAAAATGTCAAATTCAACCAGTTTACTGTCGTAATTGCCAACTTGGCTTTGTGTTGAATTTTTTTGTCTTTAGTTAGATCTGCAATATTGGACCTGGATATTGTGGAAGTAGTGACATTTAGGTCGACCTGTAAGAGAAATGGTTAGGAGGCCAATTTGAATGAGTGAAACGGTTAGTTAATTCAATGACTCTTTATAAAACCAATAATTATGGGATCAAATAAGTGTACATCTATGTAAAATGTTTTAACAATGCGTCTTATTAATTATTGTAAGCTATTTCTGAAATTAAGTTTTATGTTCGTTTTTGGATCGGACACTTTTCCAGAAGTCTCGAAAACATTTTTTTATTGGATATTTGATTTTATAAAACACATTTTGTAATAATATCATAAAAAATTAATAGGATGTTTTATTTCAAGATTGTTTAAAAGAATTATTAAGACGTTCAAAAACGTTTTATAAACTAATCATCATACTTGTATGGAGTAGTGTTTAGATATATACGTATATATAGATGTGTATGTATGTATCATTGTAAGGCATTACTAATATATATGTATTTTATGATTCGTATTGAAACTTATTGGCAAGAAATAATTCGTACCTCATGGCCATTGCCACTGACGACATCAGGTGCATCAACACGTCGAGCAACGGGTACTATTTTACCACGACGTTTTTTGCCAAAGTCGTATAAGGAATTGGCTCGTAAAACGTCGTGCACCGTGCTTCGACGTACCGGAACTGTCCCTTTGGGACATCGTTCACCGTTTTGATGCCACATTTGCCACGCGCCTCTTCGTATGTACCCTTCACTTTGACTAACATTTGCAGATTTGCCACCACCATCTTCCTCATCATCTTGTGTCGAAATCGACCTCGCCTTTGGCATTTCCGGTGGTACTCTCTACATAAAGTAATAAATTACCCGTTAATTAATTTTCTTAAGAAAGATCGATAATAAGGAGTATTTACTCCATATGGATGGGAAGTAAAAGTGGTTGGTAGTTGAAAGTTGGAAACTTAAATAAACACCAATGAACAAAAGGCAGATGACACCAAACCAGCAATGGTCTGGTGGCATCGCCTTTTGACCAAATATTGATGAAAGAAATACTGGGCTTTTCGTAGAAAGTCATAAAGATCGATTAATCCAAGCAAATGTACAAACTTTTAATGCATAATGTAATAAATTACCTGGATCTTATGGTTCTTGAGAAGAGGGTGATCTAAAGCTGCTTGCTTTCTTTTATGAATACAATCAATGATATCTCCATCTGGACTCTAAGAAAATCAAAGACATATATCATAAGCAATGTACATGTTTCCTTGCTTGTTGTACAAGAGACTAATGCATCATTGTTGAAGATATATATATATATATACATGAAATATGATCATGTTCTATAAATGGCAAAGAGATGATGATGCAAGTGCTTAATGCAGGTTCAATGAATTACCTGAATGGAGAAAACAGATGGCTTATTGAGATTATCCAAATGCTTCTGAATTCTTGCAAGCCTCAAGTCCCCTACTTGTCTGTATCTTGTGTAATTCAAACCACAAACAGATCTACCATTGTTGCAGAAAAGAGCAACCCAGAGATGCAAAAGGACAAGTCTTGAAAGCAGATTATTGCTCAATCGAACCATGTTTTCATGAACTCAATGCATGCCCAGAACCAGAAAAGGTTGAAAAAGAGAAAAAAAAAACCCTAATATTCTCTCTCTAGTTTCTCTCTCTAGGACAAGAACACATTTAGTAGCGAAAATCACAAAAAAATTCAGGGCCAAGAAGGGTTTTTAATTGAAAAGATTGAAGAAGAAAGAAAGGGATATGGGAAAATGACACTGTGGGTGTGTGTAAATGCAAAGAAAGAGAGGTTGGTTTGGGTTGGTTTGATGAGCACACAGCCCAAGCACTGATCATGATTGTACTCCTGAGAACTCCATAAAACCTCTGTGTGTGTATGTGTGTGTGTGTTTGAGTGTGTGTGAATTAATGTAATTGTAATTATAATGATTCTTTGAATGAAAAAGAGAAGTAATTGCATGCAGCAAATTGAAAAGGAAATTAAAAAAGAAGAAGTGAATTAATGGGGTGTAATAAACTCAGACCTACCCATCATTTATATACAAGCATCTGCCTCTATCCACCTCTCTATATTTGCCATTAATGTTTCCTTTCTTGTATATTTCTAACTCACCACCATCCTTTCTTTTATACATGTCTTCACAGGCATATATACCCTTTATATCTATGTATTATATATATATATATATATATATATATACATGTAATAAAAAAAACGTAGCGAAACAAATATATGTGAAACAATACATTAAGTTGATTCTTGTTGTATGTTGATTATGTATATATTGAAGGTGCTTGTGTATTTTTCTCGGTATATATAAAACTAATAAAAGAAAACCATATTCTCATATTTATATTCAACTATGCATATAACAACTTAGATGATCTTTATCAAAAAATTTATTAAGTCCTGTATGGATAAATTTGTCTGTGTGGATAAATGAGTGTTGTTGTTTACTTTTTTTTATCTGAACCACCAGTCTGAATAGCATAAATGACCTATTTATCCCCCCAATATTAATTATTTAAACATCAAAACAAAAAATTCATAAATAGGCCGAAGATGGGGGTGTCTCATATGTGAAGGAGACGTGTGTTTTAAATAAAGGGTAGGGATGTCATTTTTGTGGCTAAATGGAGACAAAACACCATTTCTATATGTGCGATTAAGTCATGTTCTGTACGAATAAGCCGTAAGTAAACAACCCAAATGAGCTATGCGAATAAGCCAAATAGACCAATAAGCTTAATTAAGTCCCAAGTAAACAACCCCTTATTTTCTTTGATAACTGTAGATATTCGTAACACAGTGTATAACTCAAGTTACTTTATGAGTTTCTAAAATTATCGGTGAAACAAATCTTTAATTAATATTTACCATTTGAGTATCCTCAAGATTTAAATATATAATAACTTGCGTCAATATGATAAAAACAACCCTGCTTTCAATATTATACACACATACACACATACACACATATATATAGGTGGAGGTTCAAACGAGAACCCTGTGATTTACGAGAATGCGAGAACAACCTAATAATCTCAAACTTTTTTAATTAATAAATTAATTTTTATTATATATAAATAATTTAATAAGGACAATAATGTAATTAAGTAATTTTTGTAATTTTTATTTTATTTTAATTAACCATAATTATCTTTTCACGTTCCACGTTTTACTCTTGGTAGTTATCTTCTTCTTCTCGTTAACATCTTTTCTTCATATCACACCTCTATCACATAAGTATCACACTCATATCAT